GTGGGGTTGGAATAGGCCTGACAAAGATATTTGACTGTAAAAATTTTTCCCCACCTCAACCGCCTGAGCTCCTGTTAACTTAAACAACTTATATATATATATAACCTGGATCCCATCACATTTAAAACAAAAGCTTTGTTACTAAACTATAGATGGATCAGTGATGTAACACTCATTTGTTTTAGTTTTTTTTTTATATATATATATATATATATATAATGGTCAAGATGTTTATACTCGCATGTATTCAAGGTGTAAGAAAAATACCTCGTTACTTGCTGGTTAAATAATCACATGACATTTTAGCTCTTAAAAATTATATAAAGGTTTTTCAAAACCACATGATGCCAACATAAATATGAGTACATTTCTAAGAAAGGCACATATGTTTTTAACACTATTATTAGATTTTTTTCTTTACATTTTCATAATGGTTCACATAATGGAATCATCCAAGGAAGAGAGAAATTGAATATTTACAATTCCCATAGTTTTGTCTTGCTAATAAATCTAAATATGAAAATGTTTTATCTTTCACCAGAACTTATCCATAAGGGTACCAAGGATGACCAGCGGGATTATCTGTTTTACCTGGCTGTTGCCAATTATAAGCTCAAGGTTGTTATCAGAGCTTTTCATATGTTATCAGTTGAACACTCGTATTGGAATGATTTTTGCTACTCTCATTCTCCTGTTTTACACTAATTCCAGGAATATGAGAGAGCTCTGAAATACATCAAGAATTTACTGAGGAATGAACCAGGAAATTCTCAAGCTGAAGAACTGGAGAAACTCATTGATAAAGCCATGAAGAAAGGTGAGCATGAATATTGTATTCATGAGCATGAATAAAGTACCTTTCTCATTGTTTTTTATAACGGAAGTCAATTTCTTCATTCAAGAGTGTAGTAATATTATGCAGTATCCACTTTTTTCCTGAGTAACTGATGAGCAGTGCCATGATGGATTCTAACTTCCATTTGTATGCTGTACTGTTCTGTTCTACATAGAAATCCATGGTAAAACAGTGTAAAACAAGACTGAATTAATTAAAACACTTTTTGAATACTGCTAAAAATAAAAATGAGCACAGGTTTAAGCTGCACTGCGCTGAGCTAACCTCAGGCCGCTTCGTGTCATCTATCCACTCATTAAACTTTGACAGGCAAAAGTGACAAAAGACAGTCATTGTGACACTTGGAGCCATGTGATTTTTTAAAAACCATTTTCATAGGTTTAACATTACATTTTGGGCCTGGAAAAAACACTAATTTGACTAGAATCTCCGAGGGCCAGAAAAAAAGCATAATACCGGTATGAGTCAAGATATCCACGTTCAGTAAAAACGTGGATAGCATTAGGTCAGGGTTTTTTAAACCTGTCCTGGAGGCTCCCCAGCACTGCACATTTTGCATGTCTCCCTCATTGGACACACCCAATTCAGCTGATAAGTTGAATCAGGTGTGGTAGATAAGGGACAGAAAAAGTGATCTTCTCATATATCAAGATTAAACAGGCAATTTGCATTTAACATGCTTCTCATTTGTTTTCTAGATGGGCTGGTTGGAATGGCAATTGTTGGTGGCATTGGCCTGGGTTTGGCTGGATTGGCTGGTCTCATTGGTTTAGCTGTGGCTAAGAAATCTGCATAAGAGGATGCGCCGAGCCAAATCATAATGCCTTGCAAATGAGAAAAGTATTAAGCCATTTTTTGGGTTTAGAGTCATCATGACACTGACAGAGAACAGATTAACTCGCTGTTGCCTTACTAACTTTTCCTCCAGATAAAGCCAGTGCTTTTTAAAGTCAGAAAAATTTCACATTTATAGCAAAACAGAGCTGCACCTTTTCACATTGCTCTTAAGAAAAAAGTAGGAACGCCCACAATATCTTTTTTTTGTCACGAAATGTATAAAAGGGATTTAATAATATAGATCTTAAAACATATAGCATTTAATTGTTTGAACTTATTTATTCTTTGTATCTGTAATAGTTTTAGCTTATTTATTCTTTGATTTTGGTACAAATGCCCTGTACCATCACTGAGCATGCAAAAATATAGATATACATCAGCAGCTGCAATGGAAAATTAATTAAATTGTTCATTAACTAAATATATATATATATATATATATATATATATATATATATAT